TTGAAATCATCTGTCATTCCTACCACAATTATTCTACTTAAAGAAACAAAGCAAATGAACAAAACAATAACAAATTTTAAGATAGAGGCTGACCCTTGTCTATCAGTATTCAAGCTCTTAACATTGTACTTGCTGTAGAAAAGGCTCCATAATTTTTTTAATAAATGAGAAATAATATGTCCTGTGTATTTAGGAATCATTTTGGATAGAAAAGCAAAAATGTGCTTTTAATTATTTAGGTTCCTAGTTCCAAAACTAACAAATCTAGACATAAACCAAATGGCTACAAAATCATGTGAATGGCACAAGATCATGTAAGAAAGAGAAAACCAGATGAGAAAGTGTGTCAGACAGTAGAGCATATGAATACATGTCATAGGTGCTGAAAGCAGTGGATGTGCTGTATTCTCCACTGAAGCTGGCATGTAGTAGTTGGGAGGGGGAAATTTTAAGAGCTTGTCAAAGGGGGAAACCAAATAGAAGAGTAAAAGGAAAATGCTTTTCTTCTATTCCCTCTTCCAGTGCTGCCCCCCAAAATTCTGATTTGGAGGGAATACTTAATCTCAGGAGTCTTAAGATTCTTTAATTTCAATGAGATTGATAGGTAAAATCCATAATTTTATGGCAACCTATATGATATTGGGCAAGATGTGATTTAACAGCAATGCCCAATCATTATAGCCTCTAGGGTGATGTTCTATGGTTTCAGATAGGAAGTATTATGCCATATTGCACAATGGCCAATGTTTTCATCAAGATTCTATGCAGGAAGTCATTCTTCCCATCAAAAGGTGCTTAAGATGCTCCTTCTATGGTCAAGATACACAATGCTCAATAGTCCAGAAAGGGTACACACACACCATGCCACTGACATAGAGGGCTCAGGCTAAAGAGATAGGAACCTATAACATCACAGAGCCACTCTAAATGATTAGTCGTAAGTTAAGTGGCTAGCATAGAAAGGCTTCAATGGTAATTGGCTATTAGACTTTTAACTTAAAGGTTGTACTTGAGCTAGCAAAACATAGACAAACAAAACAATTTGATAAAGACTCCAAAAAAGTGGACATGCAAAAAAAGACAGCACAGAGCAACACAATGTGGTGCATGGAGGAGGGTCCCCAGGTTGTGAGATCAAAACACTACTTGAGTTTGATCTACTTCCTAGATCAACCTGATTAGGATTGTTACTAGTTCTATCATCAGGATAATCTGATGCTTGATATAGTCATCATATATCTTCTAGTATTGTATCTATAACATGTACATGTGTATATGTGTGTGTATAATATGTACATGTAATACATACACATACATCTACTTATACATAATGAACTGTACATAATTCTCTTGATGGGGTAGGCATTTATTAATTTTAACGGATACTGTTGTTTCCTTCAAAAAATTCCAAGTTTAAAACCTTATTTATAGCTCATGTCTATTTTCTCTCATTATCAGTTTACTGTATATATCAATCTATGTGTCTTCAAGTCAAATAAGCCCTATTTGTCATGACAATAAATACTCTGATATCCAGAGTAGACAAAATTAGTTGTGTATTATTTCTTACTGAGTTCTGACTTTTGAAAAATTCTGATTGATTATGCTACACCATACACTATCTCAGGATAAAGTCATGATCAACAGTGGTATTAAGGGAATGTGGCAAGGAGTGCAGACCTGAGTACTAACAGATTTTGGAGGAAACTGATGTCCACCTAATGCTCTCTTACAGATTTCAATATATCTTCCACTTTGTTGATTGCACATGGGATGTTCTTGACTTATTTCAGCATAAACAGGTAGAAAAAAATGTGAGTTTTGGGGCCCAGCGTAGGATGATTCAATCCCTATTCTATCTTTATGGACAAATGATTAATCCTCCTGAATGTCAGTTTCATCATTTTAATAGATAAAGAGAATAGATAAAGAGAATAAATAAAAATAATAGATAAAGAGAATGCAGGGATGTTTGATGTTCAAATGTAATCATTTGCACACAGAGAAGAAACAGTAAATGCCTAATGCATTTTAAGGTAATTTAGTCAGTAACTGAACTACAACCATATTGTTCTATAATTAATTCTGAATTCAAAGCAGCCATGAATGTCATTCAAATTCCTTAATCAAACATGTTTAGATCTTTTTCTTCAATATGAAAAATACAGAACGGAGGTTTTCTTTGCCATTTTTTCCTGAAATTCTTCATTTTGCAGCTCTTGAATAAAAAATACCAGATTCATTAAAAAATCTGGAATTTTGTCATTGTTAATATTGAGTTATTTTAATTTCTAATATTTATAGATGCTTATATCTCTGAATATTTATTTATCAAATTATCATACCTTCAAGAAAGAGTACCCTCCTCTCTCTTCTTAAACAGTTCATTTCCGACCTGTTAGTTCAACTGTTTAGTTTATCTAGGTCTGTTTTCTTAGGCACTGTCTTACATACAATATCAATTTGGGCATCTGTCTCCCTGTCTACAAGGTTTTAATTTGGTTGGGTGGCCAATTCCTTGGCAGCTGTTTCTTTTTAAAATATCCCTCCATCTCCTAGCACAGTAGTGGGCAGATAATAAATGTTCAACATGGATTTGCTAGTCGGATTTAACTTAAAAAAACACAAAAAACACAAAAACTTTATGTTCAAGTATCTGAGCCAATGACAGATCATAAACATGAAGTTTGAGTTTGGTGCTCGTTTACCTCTTGTGAAATCTTGAGATATAACATGCGATCCTGAGCTTCACCAAAGTCAGGCCAACTATGACTCATTGCTCTAGAATTTCATAAAGTCTTCCCTACTGTTACCTGTCTCAACTTGAAGTTTCCTCATTTCTAAATCCTGTTTCATGAAAAGAGGCCCTAGAATGTAGTGTTCTTGAGATAAGTACGTCATCTTTCTTAAGATACTGTCATAAGGTTAAAATAATTAATAAGGATATCCCAGAGCCTAACTGTGGTTAAGGACAGGAGGAGGAACTGGATTTTATTTAGAACAGTTTCTCATGTGAATAAATGTTTATCTAAGGGAGTAAGCCAGGGAAGTTCCCTCAAAAATCTGGAGGGGAGACAGGAAAAGAAGCAGATCAGAAAAACAAGAAGGACATAGTTTAACTTCCAATTTGAAGTTCCGTGCTTGTGTATATGAATGCCAGACTTGATGCAAATGCAAAGGTTATAGGATCAAGGCATCAGTCTTCTTCTAGAGCAGAGGCTGGCACTGCCCAGTCCCTACCTGCTCTGTGGCCTTAGGCGTGTTATTTAGGTTCACGTAACATGAGTAAGAGTAAGAGTAAGTTTATTATTCATCCCTGCATTGCAGCATCTAGTACAGAGCCACAAAAACATTTGTTGTGTTGAAAAATCGTTTTTGTGTGGCTGGTCTCTTAAGAAATAGTTTATTGATTAAGGTAAAGTAGGGCCCAAATTAAAATTTTGACAGTTCAGAGAGAAATACTGCTACTAATATTGCAAATAGTATAGTACGAAGGCAAAATGGTTGGATTACAAAGCAGTGTGTGCGCCTGAGTTTCCAATCCATCACGAGCCAGCCGTTAGTGGTTTGAGACACTACTCACACTCTATTGTCCTTAGTTTCCTTTTTTCGTAAATAAGGATGTTAAATCTCTGGACATTTTCTAATTTATAAATCTTCAATTCTCTCTTAATTGAAAAATAGGTTTTCCAAAATACTTTCATTCTACTTCCTTTTGTTTAAGTAAACTTTAGGTGAATTATATCTTCTGGGAAAGATAAATAATGCTCATTCTTTTCTAGGATTTAATAATTGAACTAACCTTCACTACATCTCTAAAGAGGGTAGAGAAGAGGTAATCTAACATTTACAGAACACAAACTTTTCACATGGATTTTGTTCTCCACAAAAGCATTATAAAGCGAAATTTTTCTCCGTTTTACAATTAAGGAAACTGAAGATCAGAGAACTCAAGTAACATGCCTAAGGCCACAGAGCCAGTAGGAACTGGGCAGTGCCAGCCTTTGCTCTTAATGTCTGTCTGATTTAATAGCCCGTGTTCTTTCTAGCATGCAATGCTAGCATTCTGTAAAAAAGGCAAGTAATCCACTTCACCAGATGGGGAGACTGAGGTCCATAGAACCAGGAGTCTTCCTCAATTTTGTAATAAATTCATATTTTGGTCCCAGGAAGAAACCCTGAGGTTTTTTTTGTTTGTTTTTTGTTTGTTTGTTTGTTTGTTTTTGGAATAGCATATAAGCTCAGGCTGAAGGCAGGATACAGGAAAATATTCTTTTGTAAAATAGCTTTTTATGTCAGAATTAGATTATCAGAGTTTTAAAATGGTGAAATATAAAATTGAGCTTGTTGTATTTACAAATTTTTATTAAATTCGATTAACACACTTGATATTTTCTGGAGAATATCTCCGAATGAACGCATTCTATCTACTAGAAATGATAAAACATTTTTGTGAATATAGATTTTATTTTTTCAGCTTTTTTGAGGTATAATGGACAAATAAAAACTACATATTTAAGATATACAAGATGATGATGTGACTGAAACTCTATTTTTTCCCCAAACTATAGATCTTAGCCTCTCTAACTTCCTAGCATTCTGCCTCTCATTTACATGATATCTGGAGTATGATAGGGCTTCATCTCAAACTTCATTTCTTCTTATAAAAAGTAATTTGCTTATCTAGAAATCATTTGGAATACTTTCTTAGACGGGCATATACCACTTTATTCTCCCAAGGCTCCTTTACTCATGCACTGTACTGCCTTTTGATTTAGGAAAGAATTTTTTTTTTCTCTCTGAACTTCCCTTGTGCTTTTTTTTTTTATGTTCTGAGTTTGTGTTGGCTTACAGCCTTCTGTTCCTTTTGTTGTATTTGACCTGGTGCCAAATGAGAGTCAGCACTTAGGTTATAAAGTATCGTTTTCTAAAACAGTGACAGAAGGAAAACTCCGCCTTCCACACCCACAACCGATTACCATAGTTCTACATAACACGACCTTGCATCGTTCATCTGTCAGTTGTGAATTTTTGTTTTCTACAGCTCTCATTTCTCCAAAAATGTGTTTGAGCCTCTTGGAAAATATGCCTTTAAGCCATTCAAGAACTCAAGGAGCTCAGAGATTATCCTGGAAGCTGTGGCTCTTTTGCTCAATAGTTGTGTTGCTATTTCTTTGTTCCTTCAGTTGGGTAATCTTTATTTTTCTTCAACTAGAGGTAAGGAGGCAACTATACCTAAGGTTGCTATTTACTATAATCCTCTATTTATTTGTTTTTCTAGTTATTATCATTGTCACTCAGTATTGTTAGCAATAGTTGGAAGGGAAAGATGTGTATAAGTAATGTAAATATAATTCTGATATTGTCATGACATGGCTTTTGAGGTTTATCTAAAGGTTTTGAGAACACAGATCTCAGAAAATGCTAAATGTTAGTTGCAGAACTCAGAGAGAATTGGTTAAGTCAGTGGACAGGTGCCTGTGGAGTATTTTTTCCCTCTCTGTGCTATAACTCTTGGTGGAATAAAAAAGGTATAAAATATGATGAATGCCAAGAAATGGAGAGTAAGCTATAGTCTTAGTTGTGGAAAAGACATGAAAAAATAATGAAAAATGGGTTTAAGTAAATGACAGGTGGCTTGTGTATCTTTGAGGAGGAAAGTAGCACTGAGCTAGGAGTAAGAAGATCTGAATTCTGGTTCTAGGTCTCCTAATAATCAGCTGCATACATTTGAGAAAGCCATTTAATCTCTCTAGTTTTCAGCTTCTTTATCTAAAAAAATTGTGGTGGGGAATGGATTTATTATGATGTTTCTTCTAGATGTAAAATGCAGTGATCAATAATTTATTTAAGGGAAGTATGAAGAATAAATGCCTAAGACATTCAAAAACAGGGAAAAAATGACTTTAGGTTGAGCTGATCAGGGAAGACTTCATGAAGTAAGGAGAAAGCAAATGTGTATTTGGGAAGCCCCTGATGCTTGTCAGGAATTTCCCATTGAGATGCAGGCCAAGTTGTGGGCCTAGAGAATGGGATGGTACAGTGGATATGGAGATAAGTTTGGTTCTTTACTAAAAAACATTCCTCACAGTTGACTACACAGCACTGACCAAAAAGCAAATAAGAAATGCTTTATTTATTTAAGGATTTAGCCTATTTCCTGTTAAATTTGAAGATTCTGAGTTTTGTGGAGAATTAAGTGGTTTACGTCCATCTGAGAAAAGGTTGAAATATGACTGCAGAAACATTTTTCTTAAGGGAACTGACCAGCAAAGATTTCAAAGATATAGTTCTACCACCTAAGATATTTAAAAGGAATTGAGAAAAGATGAAGGAGGAAGCAGTCCCCTATTGATATTAATTTAGAGTAGGTATAGCTTTGGCCAGTTTTTCCACAGTAGCCCATTAATTTGTATTCTATAACTGTATACAAGGCTTATGTGCAACAGAGGCATTTCTGATTACCACCCTGCTCTCTCAAGAAATGTATCAAGCAGAAGTGTGAACTTTCTGGGTCAGTGAACTTTGAGCAGAAAGAAATGAATTGTCAGAAATTCTTAGTGTCTAGATTTCTGAAGAAGAGGAAGGGTGAGAGAATAGCAATAACTTAAATTTGGAAGTGCTTCTTTCTTCTAAAAACTATAAGATTAATTAGCCAGATAACCCTGAAGATCACTGAATATAGGCATCATCAATACCCATATATAACTCAGTAATGCATGCACAGAAGAGGAGGAAAATGCCTTTGCCAAAGGCAGCCAGTGGTTGGCTGCCTTTCTGGCATTATCAGACCTTCTCTTTCCATTTGCAAGCAGTGGTTCTTACAAAGGGAAAGAGAAAGCCTAATAATGCCAGAATCATCTAGGACACCTCTCTTCACAATCAAACTGGATTAGTCCCATGGGTTGAGCTCTGATTCTGGTTTCTCTCTCCTAGAGAACATCCAATTTCTCAATGAAAGGTTCTCCTCCTAAAGATAACCCAGAGTTTGTTTCAAATTTAGGGAAGTATAAAAGGTTTTTAGAATATTGTTCTGACAGGATGCCTGCAGGATTTGTTTCTATGGGAAAAGCCACTGACCTGGCCAACCACGCATGATATTAGCTCCTGCATTTCATTTTCTACTTACTATCACTTCCCTTTTCCTATTGACCACAAACAAGTATCTCTGGAAAAGAGGTCTGAGAGGCTGGCAGATACTGAGTCATTATGATGTGGCCACTTCCACATTCTCACAACACCCATGAACCTTGAAGTTTTATTTTGGTCTCCACTCTAGTTTTTATATACAAAGTCCAACTTTTGAGATTATCTGGATAATACTTTATATAAAAAAAAAAGTGTAACACTTCAAAAAGTGTTAGATGGGAAGCTTGGCTCCTTCGATCATTGTTTTTCCATCTTTTCCTCTCTTCTTTCAGAAGATATTTAACTAAAAGGATAGCTGTGAGTCCAAGGAGTTTGGTCAATCCCTCAGTGAAAAATAACCTCACAGAAGTTATCTCTACGAAACCAAATATTCAGCAAGTCTCCCGCTTCAATACAATGAAGGAAGGAGAAGTTGTACTTGTACTTAAAAGCAGAGCAGATTTTATTTTCAATGATGATTTGATTACGGAAGATTTGATTTGGAGACAGAATGATTTGTTTTGGCCATTTTGAGCCCAACTATGTAAATCTAGCCTTAAATCAAGAGGTTACAAAAGAAACTGATCCTTCTAAGCAAAAATAACTAAGACATATGTGTCTTTATAAGTGGGTATTTACTACTTCCAAACATCAGCAGAATTATAAATAGAAACTTCCCCCCCAGAGTGGTCGGGGTGAGAGCTTTGAATCAGACAGGTTGGGTGTGGATCTCATTCTTGCCTTTCCTTGGCTGCATGACCTTGGGCTAGTTACTTAATCTCTCTCATCCTCATTTCATCATCTGCTAAATGAGCAAGCTAATTTTTACAGAGTTGTGGTAAGGATTAATGAGACAGTAGAGTATTTGATACATGGTAGGTTCCAAGTAGATGGTAGTGATAAATACTTGCCCCATTACTATTAATGAGAATATAATGGGCAAAAATTTAACAAGATCATTTAACAATATGATTCTTTGTCTATTTATATTACTCTCTCAATCAAAGACTGTATTTCACAGCCAAATGGATAATTTCAAAGTTAGATGAATTTTCACCAGTGGCAATAATTAGAGAGTATGACAGTGTTGGTCTCTTTGGCCCTCTATAGACATGAAGCAGCCTGCAGTATAGCATCCGGAATTTATGGCTCTGGGAAGTAGTTTGGCCTTAGGTTGTCCATGGCCTTAAGTTTCTCTGAACACATCTTATACGTGCTACTAGACGGTGCAGATACTATCTGTGGCATGCGCTCATTCATATTTAGATTATTACCAAATTGCTTTAGGTGTATAATCATGTCTTTCTAGAAAGATTATAAACCTGTTGAGGTAACAACCAAAAATTACATTTGTTTCTCCTGCTTATAATGCTGTAGGATGTTGGGAATACAGGCACCTAAATTTTAGTTCAATTCTTCACTACAATCACCATCATCACCCAAACAGCTAATATTTATTGAACAGGTCCAGGCAGGAGATCTGGGCAAAGCCCTTCTCAAGAATGACCTCATTTAAATCCAACAACTTCAGCAAGCTAGGTCCTAGTATTTCTCCCATTTTATAGATGAGGAAATTGGGGTTAAGGGAGTCTCTGTCACGTCCCTATCATGGGTTGAACTAAATTGAATTTCAACATCTCCTCTAGGAAACACCAAAATGAGGATGAAATAATTGCAAGAGGCAGGCGCATGGCTCATGCCTGTAATCCCAGCACTTTGGGAGGCTGAGGCTGAGATGGCTTGAGCCCAAGAGTTTGAGACCAGCCTGGGCAACATGGCAAAACCCTGTCTCTACAAAACAATACAAAGAATTAGCTGGGCATGGTGGCATGCATCTGTAGTCCCAGCGACTCAGGGGGCTGATGTGGGAGAATCTCTTGAGTCCAGGAGGATAAGGCTGCAGTCAGCTGAGAGTGCACCACTGCACTCCAGCCTGGGCAGCAGAATGAGACCCTATCTCAAAAAAAAAAAAAAAAAAAAAAAAAGTAAGAACAAAAACAAGTGTAGGGAATCAAAAAATGCATTTCCTAGAATAGTGGCTTTCAGACTTTTTGAATATGCCTCCTTCTTAATAATGTATTTTCAGTATAATTCCCAATATTATATGCTAAATATTATACTATGTACAAGTACCAACAATATGTATACTACAGAGATACACAAAAATATATATTTATAAGGATATGCCAAATAATATGTTTAATGTAGCTCTCACAATGCAAAACCATTTTGCTTTCACCAAAATGTTATATTTTCTATAATAAATATATGATATAAACATTACTAAAATAAGTAAAATATTATTTTAGTAATTTGATAAATGCATTTATTTTATTTTTGAATCTTAGCTTAACACTTTGTGATATAGGAATTTGAAGTTTGTAATGTCAATTTACCTTGTTTCATGATTTTCATTATCATGGCTGAAAAATTACCTACAAACAAACGTAGATTAAAATGGAAGAACACATCTTTGCATACATGTCTCAATTTTCAATCCATCATTCAATGATAGGTGCCTCTCTTTCCTTCCTTACACAACTAAATTCCAAGATCTATAGCTTTAACACCTCCCTTGTATAAATTCACTCACTTGCTTCTCTCTGTTGTCATTGTATTCTAATGACGAAAGCTCAGATATGGAAAACCTCCAATGCTGATTAAATCCAACTGCTCTGTGTCTTTCACTGTTGAATATATCTGAAGAAAAACATAAAACTTGTTGAAAGCTCTTACTTTGAATTCACAGCCACTGCCTTCAAGTGGATTTGCGTGTTGCTTTGGAAACAACCCACATTTCCCAGTCCATTCACTCTCCTCTACTGGATAATTTCACACCTTTAGCTTGTCTTCAAACATCTAATAGCTTCCCCATTCCTACTCTCCACTGATAACCTTGTCTCCACATTCCAAGAGAAAGTAGAAGCAGAGAACAAAGAAGTTCCAATGAGTACCACTCATCTGCATTTGTGTCCAGAAATACTGTTATTCTCTCTTGTCACCATGGATACATTGTCCATGTACCTATCTATGCCATCTATGAACTAAATCTTATCCTCTCTTACCTACTCAGGGACGTTGTCCCAACCGTTCTCTCTTTGCTCTTAGATATTATGCATCATCCATTTTACAGGAACATTTCCACCAAATGGCAATAGACAAACATGTTGTCATTTATCTCATATTAAAACACAACAACAACAAAAAACTTCTTTGACCTCTCATCCTCATCCAAACTCCACTCATTTTTTTATGCTTTCCCTACAGCAAAATTCCTCCAACTTCTCTTTTCCCATTTACCCTTAAATTTATTCTAACTAAGCTTCTGCCCTCTTCACATCATAGAAACTCCTTTTGTCAAGAACTCCAGTGACCATGCTGCTCAATCTATCAGTCAATTTCCTGTTCTCTTCTTACTTGATCTATCAACAGCATTTGACATTGGTTGATCACTCGTCCTCCATGAAATATTTTCTTTTCGTGGCTTCCAAACATCACACTCTCCTAGTTTCAGACTGAGCTGCTTCTTTCTATTCTCCCTTGCTGGTTCTTTCTCATTCTCTGACCTCTAAACATCACGATGTCCCAGTATTCCTCTCCATCTGCACCTACTGACTTTATGGTCTCATACAATCTCATGCCTAAAGCATAGTCTATGAGCTTAAGGCTCCAAAATTCACATCACCAGAGCCCCTTAAATTTCAGCCTGCTGTATCCAATTGCCTGCTTGACACCCTTGCCTGGATTTAACAATAAGCATCACAAACTTAACATATCCAAAACCAGATTCAGGATTGTTCCCCTCCCCATTTATTCCTCCTAAATCTTATCCATTTTAGTGAATAACAACTTTATCTTTACTATTACTCGGGCCTAAAATATTGGAGTCATCTTTGTCTCTTCTCGTTCCCTACCCCATATCCATGTTGGGAACAGAATTCTGTTGCCTCTATTTTCCAACCACGAATCACCATCTCCACTGTTAGCCCCTTGGTCAGAGGCATCATGCTCTCTTGCCCATAGGAATGACTGTAAAAATCTCCTAGCTAGTCTCACTACATTTGCCCTTGCCTCTGTTTAATTTTTTCCTAGCATAGCAGCGAGAGAAATCCTATAAAAGGAAACTGTGCAACATCTTTAAGTTCAAAAAGTCTTTTAAGCACTTTGCCATTAAAAACTTTGAGTGATATAAAAATGTTTGTGGTTATGCCTTAATATACTACAAAGTATTTTTTAGCATTTAGCATTTAACTACTTCTATTTGTAAGACTAACCACACACTGATGGCATCTGGTAGCATGTGAACTGCTGTATGTTGCAATAGTCTGAAACTTGGAACTGTTTCTCAGGGTATCTCAGATAGCGTATATGACATGTAGTTATCTGAATATTATACGAGGGTGGCTTCATTAATCTGAGTTGTAAATATTTTTAGGGCTTAATTTATTATTTTAGATAAAAATAAACATAAATAGAAGCTTTATCATTTTCCTTTCACATGCCAATAGATCACTTTGTGCCGTCACTGGGGTGTGGAAATTGCTGTTTTGTTGAAAAACTTTTAGAGTTCAAGAAAGGGGAGGTCCAAGATCAAATAGTTGTCCTGTAGGTATAGCTTAGGTAGTGGAATGACATCTTGACCTTTGCCTAAAAAACCCCAAAGGGAAGCTAGGTAATAAAAGGTAAAGGATGGAGCTAGTCAACTTTATAGGGAGGCTGAGATGACCGAGACATAATGGAGGGAGGGATTTTTTTTATGGCTGCAGAACAGTAGTTTGCTTCCGGAATTCAAAGCTCTAAATAAATCAATCAAAAAAGTTGGTGACACTGTCATCATCCTAATCGATTCCTCTTTTCTTTCCCCAGCAGACTGCTAAAGAGCCCTGTATAGCTAAGTTTGGTGAGTAACCTATCTTGCACGTCTCTGTTCTGCTTTTCTTAGTTTTTGATGCAAGAAGGCAGGTGCCAGTACTCTCAAGAAAACCTGTATTTTCTTTTATTCATTTTTCAGCTACTATATAGAATTACTTATTATGTACTGGGTAGTTGCCCAAGAACTGAGGCTTCCAGAGGTGAACCAGGCAAAACAAGCCCATGCCCTGAAAAAATCTCATACTGAAGGCTGCCTCTCTGGGCAGGAATGCATATCTCTCTTACTGGCCTATGAATCTGAGATCCTGGACTCTACCTTTAATTCTGTGTTTTGATAATCACAAGTTTCAGATTTCTACAACCTTTCCTTAAAGTCTTTCTCACATTTCACATATAGCTAATGTCCAGTGGAGTATGTGAGAGAGTGCAACTGTTGTTTCTAAACGTACAGAAGAGCAATGAGAGTTGGGAAAGTGGCCACTTCCTCTACTCCTTTCTCTTCTAAGCTTAGCTTCTGAGTCATTTTCCCTTGTAGTCACCTGATATTTGCTTAGAAAACACACTACAGTTTGCAGATACACTGAGCCTTATAATATTTCTTAGAATACCTGCAAAATGTCAAATAAATACATTTTTAAAAGTTGTTTATAGGTTTCAGGCCAAACACACATTTTCAGTTGAGAGCAGACCATTTCTAGAGTTAACTCTGCAACCGCTGTGTTTCTATATCATTTAAACCAGTAGGTTTCATTGGCTTGTGGGAATTAGACAATTTCCTTTTGCTTGTCTCTTCCTCTGTGTTTTGTTTTTGTTTTGCCGGTAAGTGGAATCCACGGTATGTGCAAAATTCTAACTTGATGTGGTAAAAGTTGAGAAACTCAAGTGATGCTAAGGTGGTCTTTAAGTGACCTCCCTTTCACAGAATTAAATAGGAAAACCAATGACACTTCTTCCTGGTGACCTGCCTATTGCATGTCAAGGAGGAAGAAATTTACAGGGGTCTGAGCTCACTGGTGATACAGGGTGGCTTTGTTGCTCTAGTCATCTCTTTTTTATTCTCCTCCAGAATCCACGTTTAGAGTCTTACACCAGTCATTTATACGAATAAGAACTGAAATAAAAATGTTACCTCTTCCAGGGTGTTTTCTCATCAAGCTTTCTTTTTAATTATGGGACAAAGGCTTTGTACCTTACAACAAAAATTACAGAGAACTGTGCAACAGATAAGCATTCTGGGTGGTAAAACACCTACCTCTTGGGGCCGTGAGATCACACTGCTATGCAAAACCAAGTAATGTTAGATAAACATTTAAATTTCATATGTGCTAATGAAAATGAATGATTAGGTCTTTACCCTTTCTTCACCCTTTGGGGACTGTCCCCCGTATTGCACTAGGGATTCTTAAACAGTCCACCTACTTCTATTTGTAAACTCATAAATTTATCATTAGCTATTTTGGGGGGGTTTAAATAATGAATCCTAAGTAGGTCTTAAATGATGTATACCTACAAACTGAGGAGAAGAGCCATAATTTAGACACAAATCACCTAATTCAGAAACATGGAAGTATCGTTCAAGCAATAAATATTTATGGAACACCTGCCAGGTACCAGAGACTTTTTCAGGTGCTGAAAATACAGGAATGAACAAAATAGAGATAGATTTGTCCTCAAAAATTTTACATTCAAGGTGATACAAGATAGATAACAAACAAACAATTTAATTCATAATACCCCAGCCACTGACACTCTTTATGAAGACAACTCAAGCAAGGTAAAAGAAGAGAGAGATAGAATACTTTTTAATATAGTTTGATTAAGGAAGGCCTCCCTGATAAAGTGATAAACAACCAGAGTCATTTACACAGAAAGTGGATGAAAGGCATGGACTCCAACCCTGGTTATCAAAATTTTGGCTTGTGATTCCTCTCTTTCTCCATTTGTCTTTTCTTCTCCTTTCTTTTTCCCACAAATATTAATTGACAAAAGATGCTGAGTCACTTAACTCACTCTTCTATTCCGAATTCTTTCCCTTAGAGTGCTCCAAGTGAGAAATACCCTTTGGATTTGCAATTTCTCTAAAACAAGGAGTAGATAGGTACTTAAAATATGAAAATTCTTCTTGAAGAGAACTAGATCAGCTAAAGAAATAATATGTATGTGGTAAAGAATTAACTACGATCTGGAAAAGAATGAAATAATGAAATAACTATGCATTCATCTTTTTTTCTTCCCTTGTATATTTCTTATAGGACCTTTACCCTCAAAATGGCAAATGGCACCTTCTGAACCTCCTTGTGTGAATAAGGTGTCTGACTGGAAGCTGGAGATACTTCAGAATGGCTTATATTTAATTTATGGCCAAGTGGCTCCCAATGCAAACTACAATGATGTAGCTCCTTTTGAGGTGCGGTTGTATAAAAACAAAGACATGATACAAAATCTAACAAATAAATCTAACATCCAAAATGTAGGAGGGATTTATGAATTGCATATTGGGGATACCGTAAACTTGATATTCAATTCTGAGCATCAGGTTCTAAAAAATAATACATACTGGGGTATCATTTTACTAGCAAATCCTCAATTCATTTCATAGAGACTTGATTTGATCTCATTCTCTTCAGCACATGCAGAGGTGCCAGTGGGTGGACTGGAGGGAGAAGATTTTTAATTTCTAGAGTTTGTCTGTCTACAAAAATCAACTCAAACAGAACTCCTCTGGATGTGAATTTTCATCTATCCTGCTTACCCGAAAAAGACTCAGAGGAAGAGCCAAAGACTTTTGATTGAATCTACAGAGATACTTCAGTAATCCATGATAAAATGAATATGGATGACAGAGGACGGGTGCTTTGCAAAGAAACTTTGTCTAATTCTTGAATTCATGAGTGGAAAAATAGAGTTCTATTCCCATGGAAGCTTTACTTGGTATGCAAAAAGGATCTGGGGCAGTAGCCTGGCTTTGTTCTTATATTCTTGGGCTGCTCTAATTCATTCTTCTCATACTCCCATCTTCTGACACCTTCCCAATAAAAAGTAGACTGATAGGATGGCCACAGATATGCCTACCAAACCCTACTTCAGATGTGATGTTAGAAGATAAAGAACACTGCGAGAACTATTGGAACAGAGGTACAAGTGACATAAAATGGAATGTATGTTATCTGGAAATTTCCCTTGGTTTTGTCTTACTCAGGATGCAGGGTGCTTTAAAAAGCTTTGTCAAAGGAATCATTCTGAACCTTCATGTAGGGCTTTGTGAGAACTTACTGTTTGAGTGTGTGTCTAAACACTGCTAACTGTAAAGAAAGAGTAACCATTAGTATTCATTAGATTTAACCCCAGAAATGGTATCATTACTACATTATGTCAGGTAATGATTTAGTATTTTTTGCTAGCTTTCCATAGTTTGCAAAGTGAATTCGTGTATCAGGCAGCAATTCTATGAAGTTAATTGGGCAGACATTTAGGGGAAAATTTTAGCAATGAGAATACGGTAGCATAGCATAGCCAACTTGGCTCAACTCATAGGACAAGTGACTACGAGAGGCAATGGGTTTTCCACTACATCACACTGTCTCAGCTTTAGAATTGTTGTTTCTGCTATCATGTTATAAGACTCTAAAATTTAGCAAAGTCACCTTAGCCCAAGGTGAGCAGAGTGAAGCTACAACAGATCTTTCCTTTACCAGCAAAGTTTTTTTTTTTTTTTTTTTTTTTTTTTTCCTGCCTGGATCAGGGAGACCCCGGGTGGTGCTCAGGCCTTATCCCAACCAAATTCCCTTCTTCACTTTGCAGAGACCATCTTAGTGAAATGTGCTAACTTCTAAAAATAATAAATAGCACTTAATTCAAAATGTTTGGACTCTTAAATTAGCTACACACATGTTCTTGTTGAAAAGTATATAATATTATACTGTAAAGAAATTTAAAGTATTTATGGGTATTTGTGAAAAGCTGCATTATGTTAAGTAATATATGTAAAGCTATTTAAAATTTTTTTTGTATTTTATGTAACAAAAATTGCAAAGGAGCATGCTAAGCCTGAGGCTAAGTTGTTTTTAAAAAACATCTGCTGAGTAAGTACAGGGCCAAAGACTTGGAGAGCTTGTTTCTGTTGCATTTGCATATGTTCTCAGGAAATTAAAGTGTGTCTTATATATATTCATGTATATACATGTATAAAATCTTGGTGTTCTTGATTTTTGTTGTGTTACAAGCAATGTATGCTGGAGTGGGCTGGCGCTAGTTCATACGTACATATTATTAAATTTTCAGGAATTTTGCACTCTGATTCTTAATTATCGCCACTCTTGAAATTGGCTATGTGGAAGTATTTATACCACATAAATTGGCAAACACTACACATTTTCCTTTTGGACAGCTGGTTCACCAGCACACCACTGTGAAACTCTCCTTAATGACTCCTCTCTGTTCCCACTTCATTTCTGGGACAATCATGGCAGACTAAGGGAGAAAAGAAAATTGTAAGGTTGACATACTGGTGATTTCTCAGGGCAAGCAGAGGTCACTGCAGCTGCAGCTAGAAGGATGACTACCAACCGGTGACCTTTAAATTTTCCTGATGTATAATTTCAGCCTTTGTTTTCATTGTATACTGTTTTCCTGTTTCTCCACATAACAGTCTGCATTTTAAATCTGTAGTAAAACATGCTGGTAAATGGATTGCAGCTAATTTATCTGTGGGTTATCAGACTAGAGTTAGCAATCCGGAGAACACAAAGGTACATCATAGAAATCTTTGCCCGTATTAAACACTGTTTGGCAAGTGTCAGGCAGAAGTGAGAGCTGGATGCAACTGACTTTTCATCATAGCTGTTCCCATTTCTGATGAGTTAGTCAGTGTCACTTTCTGACTTTCACCTACCTCCTTTTCTCCACCCTGCCCACACTCACCATCAAAGCCACTGTCAACCCTTCTCACACTAATTGTTTTGGGCTTCCATTTTGCTGAATCAAACAAGAGCGTGCTATATTATTGTGGATTAAGTCTCTGTTCTGAAGGCGTCAGTTAATGGAAAAGCAATGTAATCTAGTCAACAGACTCCTTAGATGAAGTGTATCGGTACATCTTGAAAACGAAATTCCTGCCTTTGAGTTGTATCCCAATTAGGCAATTTCATTTGGGAGGACATATTTTTACTAGAGAGAAGGAGAAGCAAAAATTGACTGACTGACAAGTTAACAGTTTAAAGATTTCCATCAGGTAGAAGCTACAAATGATGCTTTGAGACACATTTACTGTTTGATCCAAAAGGACGCATGCCTATTCTAGGGTTTACTTGTAATTCCAGGACAGTTACTCCACTGATTATGACTCTCCCATGAGTCTCCCATCTAAGCATAGGAAATTTGTACACATGCCTTGTCCCTGCAAACTAAGAGAGTATGAGCCCACCTCAATGTAGCAAGATTCTCCTGTCTCCAATACCAAGCCGTTGGCTGTTGTTTTCCAGTCATATTTCCTGGGTGGGATCAGACTAGCCCAGTATCAGCTTTAGCTTTATCAGGTGAAGGCAGGCACCAGTTCTTTGTATCTCCTAATTGCAGGAAATATTTTTTAAAGCTGCCTTAGAAATTCCCTTGAAGTCCCCTTAACCAGGCTTCAGGCAAGAAAGTTTCATTGCCCCCAATACGTACTGCAAAAGAAAATGGGTAAGGACACACAGAACAGCCACAGCTCTCTGTTAGTGTTGTCATCAATCCTTCCTTCTCCCTCTTCTGGCCTCATTTTATTTTATTTTTATTTTTTTAATAGAGTCTCACTCTGCTGCCCACGCTGGAGTGCAGTGGCTCAAGGCAGCTTCCTCCTCCTGGGTTCAAGTAATTCTCATGCTTCAGCCTCCCGAGTAGCTGAGACTACAGGTTCCCAACTCCACACCTGACTAATTTATATATTTTTAGTAGAGATGAGGTTTTATCATGTTGGCCAACCTGGTCTTGAATTCCTGACCTCAAGTGATCCACCCACCTTGATCTCCCAAAGTGTTGGGATTACAGGCATGAACCATAGCGCCTGGCCCTCATTTGATCCTTGATCTGGATGAAATGTTTGCAAGTGAGTGGAGGGAGGGGACTTATAAAGGAAATAAAATCATTTTATCTAATTTTTTAAAGCCCACTGTTTCTTGGGAAAAGGAAACTTTTTCCTAGTGCTAAGCTCTAAGCACATTTAATATGCAAGATAGCAAAATGCAGACTCTTCCTTTATCTTATTTGAATCTACTGGTTAGTGATAGCAGTAAACAACTTTAAGGAGTTCAAAACAGTTTATTTGAGCTATCACTCCAAAACACGACACAGAGCAGTAGTGACGAACCCAATTATGTTGTTTGAACAAGTACATCAGAGGGTTTATTTGACCTGCCTTAAAGAACTTAGGTAGTGTTTGAAAATAGGAAAACAAAAATTCAATGAATAGCGTCTGTTAGATTAAACCAACTTCCTTATCTCTTCAAAGGCATAATCACGACGGGAATCTCAGATTTCAGTGTTCAAGGTGATCATTTCCATCCAGCTTTGGTGTTATCCAAGGACACCATCGGAGTGGCATGCCTCTCACAGAGAGCCTGAACAAACAGTCTCAATTAGACTGAGGTATACTGGTTGGTTTTAGTGTCTTAGAATGGAAGACACAGAGAGCCATTTTGTCTTCCTTCTCTGCATTTGGATGGTACCTCTTGGCTCACAGGCTAGACTATGAGAGGATTCTGATGACCTAGATTTCCACATCTGACACAGTACCTGGCTCATAGCCCTTATTGTCTGTTGCAAAAAACTGAGTCAAAAATGTATCTGGGTGTTTATCTGAATGTATAAATAGCATTATCGTGTGCATTTTGTATGACAGAGTCCAGGGGGCAAAGCCCTCAGCCTCAATTTTCTCACTGTCTCCTAACCCCTCACTTACTGTTCACAAGTGTTCTCCTCCTTCCTCCACGGAATCTGTTCTCAGAAACATTGTTAATGTAATTAAAGAAAGGAAACTTATAAACTCACTAGCACTAAGGAAAAGTGGCCAATATACTACCTTGTTTTGTGTCACTAAAGCGGGATAAAATCTTGTTGTAAGCTTGCCGAACAAATGTACCAAGAAGCAATTGCCTTTACAATAACCCAAGGCAAACAAAACAAAACAAAACAAAACAACAACAAAAAACTTGTTTAACAATCAGTGACAGAATTTTTCTTTTTTCTTTTTTCCTTCTAATGCTATCTTACCTCTAACCCCCATTCTCAACAGGCCCTGGTGTATGATGCTCCCCTCCCTGTGTCCATGTGTTCTTATTGTTCCACTCCGACTTATGAGTGAGAACATGTGGTGTTTGGTTTTCTGTTTCTGTGTTAGTTTGGTGAGAATGATAGTTTCCAGCTTCATCCATGTCCCTGCCAAGTACATGAACCCATTCTTTTTATGGCTGCATAGTATTCCATGGTATATATGTGCCACATTTTCTTTTTCTTTCTTTCTTTTTCTTTTTTTTTTGAGACGGAGTTTCGCTCTTGTTACCCAGGCTGGAGTGCAATGGTGCTATCTCGGCTCACCGCAACCTCCACCTCCTGGGTTCAGGCAATTCTCCTGCCTCAGCCTCCTGAATAGCTGGGATTACAGGCATGAGCCATCATACCCAGCTAATTTTTTGTATTTTTAGTAGAGACAGGGTTTCACCAAGTTGACCAGGATGGTCTCAATCTCTTGACCTCGTGATCCACCTGCCTCAGCCTCCCAAAGTGCTGGGATTACAGGCTTGAGCCACCGTGCCTGGCTGCCACATTTTCTTTATCTAGTCTATCATTTATGGGCATTTGGGTTGGTTCCAAGTTTTTGCTACTGTGAATACTGCTGCAATAAACATGTGCGCATGTGTCTTTATAGCAGAATAATTTATAATCCTTTGGGTATACACCCAGTAATGGGATTGCTGGGTAAAATGGTTCTAGATCCTTGAAGAATTGCCATACTGTCTTCCACAATGTTTGAACAAATTTACACTCCCACCAATAGTATAAAAGAGTTCCTATTTCTCCACATCCTCTCCAGCATCTGTTGTTTCCTGATTTTTTTAATGATTGTTATTCTAACTGATGTGAGATGGTATCTCACTGTGGTTTTAATTTGCACTTCCCTAATGACTAGTGACAATGAGTTTTCTATTTATATGTTTATTGGCTGCATAAATGTCTTCTTTTGAGAAGTGTCTGTTCATATGCTTTACCCACTATTTGATGAGGTTTTTTCTTGGAAATTTGTTTAAGTTTCTTGTAGATTCTGGATATTAGCCCTTTGTCAGATAGACTACAAACATTTTCTCCCATTCTGTACTTTGCCTGTTCACTCTGATGATAGCTTCTTTTTCTGTGCAGAAGCTCTTTAGTTTAATTAGATTCTATTTGTTAATCTCGGCTTTTGTTGCATTTGCTTTTGGTGTTTTAATCATGAAGTCTTTGCCCATGCCTATGTATTGAATGGTATTGCCTACATTTTCTTCTAGGGTTTTTATGGTTTTAGATCTTACATTTAAGTCTCTAATTCATACTGAATTAAATTTTGTATAAGGTGTAAGGAAGGGGTCCAGTTTCAGTTTCCTGTGTATAGCTAGCCAGTTTTCACAACACCATTTATTAAATAGGAAATCCTTTCCCCATTGCTTCTTTTTGTCAGATTTGTCAAAGATCAGATGGTTGTAGATGTGTGGTGTTATTTCTGAGGCCTCTGTTCTGTTCCATTGGTCTATATATCTGTTTTGATAATAGTACCATGCTGTTTTGGTTATTGTACCCTTGTAGCATAGGTTGAAGTCAGGTAGCATGATGCTAAATTAAAAGTTCATGATATGGCTTGGATCTGTGTCCCTACCAAATCTCATGTCAAATTGTAATCCCCAGTGTTGGAGGTGGGGCCTGGTGGGAGGTGATTGGATCATGGAGGGGGATTTCTCATGAATCGTTTAGCACCATCCTCTTGGT